GTCCCACAATGGGGAAATTCCAACATTTAACTTTAACATTTAACATAGAATAACATAGCTTTAAATCACCCCATCAAATAACTTTCACTGATACAGTGGTTCACTGTGTCAGAGTAACTCACTGAGCGTCCCTGAGCGTTTGCAGAAACTCTTACAGGGATTAGACAATCCAGTGGTTCTCAAACTGTTTAGTTTCATTTGGAAAAATGTAATGTCCTCAGACAGGCAATGTGTATTACAGTACATATGTAAATAGACACAGGGATCACAAAAACTACATAAAACAAATATAAAACTGCACTAACAACAGCAATAACAACACACTGGATCAGCCACGCTAGTATCCTCAGTCAAGACAATTTAAATCATTAATAAATAAAGGAAACAAAAAAATGGTAGCATGCTAAAATTGTGAATAATAAATAAATAACTAAATTGCACCTTGCTCATATGCTAGTGTATAGGAATGTTCAGCCTTAACAGTCATCTTGGTTAAGTCTGTCTGCTGGAAACCCCATGGTTTTTCCACAGCAACAATTTCCCCTCGTTTGTTTCTACGAACTGCTTTAGTTTCCATAGTAGCAAACTATGCAATGAGAAAGGATGCCCTTAATGAAGCAATTGTAAAGCAGAGTAAGAATGGTGTCACAAACATTCAAGTTCAGTTTTTGACCATTCTTTAAAATAGCATCAGTAAATTGATCCCAGAATAGTTTGTGATCTATAATAAGGCCCAGATATTTGTACTCAGTCACCACCTTAATCTCCTCCCCTTCGATCCTTGTACAGGTGGGTTTTATTTGTGCTTCTGGCCGGCGCAGTGCAGAAGCCAGAAGGTGAAATGTGGGGCAGGCATTTGTAAAACACATCTAATCTTGAACGAGATAACAATAAACAATCAGGATTTGAGTCAGAATCTGACACCGTTGGTGGTTTGTTGCTTATGTTACCTGGTAGCTGTCAACCAAATCTGATCAAATCCTGAAGAGGCAGGTGAACTGCGCTTGAACTTTGACTGAGTGAGCTTTAACTTAGATTGTGGCTTATTTAATCACAAGTGTTTAATGTTACTGAGAAATCATTTACATATAAAACCAAGTTTTCTGGAAATTTTGGCTTGTTTGTTGTTTGTTTGCAGGCGTCTGGCCCCACTACCAAGCAGGAGCACAGCAACATGTGCAAACTCATGTCATTAAGCCTTGGCTAAAGACCCATGGAAAAACTCTATATGTGGTTTGAACCGTTGCAGATTTAAAAGATTAATTCACTTATATGCAGTATTTCTGAATAAAGTAGGAGTGTTTCTCACCTCTGCCAGATTTTGGGCCCCTGGCATTCCTCCTGGCAGAAGCACCACATCATATGGCCCCTAGGACACAAACAATGATAATTTAAAAGAACAACTGCAAAGTTTGAAATCGTAGGATACCATACAACATAGCTCATCATACTGAAAATATAAACAATATAAAACTCCATATTTCGAGATGTATATGTAGATATTTCCACACTTTCACTGACTTTTGACTACTATTTTAACATGTAATGACAGTGTTAGTAGACAGATGCTGAGTCCCACCTGTGTGCTGGCCTCCTCCAGGCTAGCATCAGGGCAAATGACGACGTTTCTGCTGCACTGGACTGGCTCTTTGCCCGTCAGTCCTGCAACCGTCACCGCAATCTACAGGTTGGACAACATAAATAAAGAACAGCATTAGCACAACGGCACGACATGGCATCCTGTGCTGCTGATGCAGACTTTTATTTTGAAAGCTATCAAATGGCGGAGAGGTGCAATGACGTTGGACTTTGACATTTAACTTGGCCTCTGTCTGCATTCACTTTAAAAGGTTGTGAGTGCGTCCAACTGTCAACTAAATAAATCATTAGACAGCAAAAATGTAAAATATGGACGTTCAAGTAGCTATTAGCACTAGCATTAGTGACTTTAATGGCTCTTGTCTTGTCAGCTAGTTCGTGTTAGCTCGCTTTCCATCATTAACGCAGCAGCGACAGTATGTATGTGAGGCTGTCGTGTCTGATAAAACATTAAAACCATGGCAGTGTTGTGCACTGGGTGCTTAGCGTTAGTATATATTTAGACTAGCTGGCTTATGATGATCAGTGGCACTCTTAGCTAGCTGAATGCTAACATACAACAAGGCTGCAGATGAGTCACAAACCCCAGCTCTACGCATGATGTCCACAGGGATAACAGTCTCCATCTCCTCTGCACCTTTAGACAGGATCACTAACGCCCTCTTGCCTGCCATGGTTGGCTTGCAGTTGAACTACGAATAAGTGCAACGAGGCTAACTTCAGTGTGCAACTTCTGCAGCTACTGGCATGCTTTGCAATGGGGTTTAGACAGGAGCAGGGTTGCCAGGCTGCGTGTCTCTATCCCCCTTTCAAAGACGGTGCTCCATGTCCACCTCTTCTACCATGTGTGTTGTACACCAACAACAACCAAGAAGAGACCTCAAGGACCAAAGAGACATGAACCTCAGAACATATACAAATAACTTAAATATGCACTTAGTGAGAAGAGAAAACAAATATACTTCTGCCCCCTCAGAGAAACAACACTGGTTTAATCAAGTTTAATCATTAATATCAAATTGTCATTTTGGGGACTGTTGTGATTAGATTCAGTTCTATTAAAAGTTCAGAATATGAATTGTGATCTATCTGACATTGTGCAAATAAATGTGTTTTAATCCTAAAGTGTTTAAGTGAGTTTAAGGACAAATGTATGGGGTCTGTATGGCCATCATAATAGGCAGCCTGTCTATCACAAATACTAGACTTACTGACAAACAGTGGCACAATCTCAAAATAAATACTAGAGGGCACTAGCTTGCAGAAAGTTGTGATGCATTAATGGTGAAACAGCTTAGTCAAGGTTACAATCAGCGCCCCTAAAGGGGCACTTTTAGTCCACTGGAAGGGCACCTTGGAGGGGACTTCATCGTGTTTTATCTACCATAGGGGCATCCAAGATGGCCCTTAACTCACTGATAAGACTAAGAATGATAATATACTGTAGTTTTTTATGACAAAGTGCCATGTCAATTTCAGCATTCATTCAGAATACATGTACGCATATTTAAAAAAAAAAGTAACCAGCACCTCTATACCACTAGACATCTTATAGTCTAAAAATGGATGCCATTAAGATCGCCATTATAAGATAAAAATAGTATTATGACTGTGTGGTATATCACTAGAAACAAAAGGTTTTCTAGTCAAGCAGACATCAGAGCAAGGTGTGTATAATGGCCTTCAATAACAGGCAGTGCATTATTTCCTCCAGTAGGGGGAGGCATTAACCAAATAATATCTATAGGATGTCAGGGGAAGCTTGATAGAGAAGTTTAAATTAAACTGTAATGTTCACCACTGTCTTGAATACAAAGGAAAAATGTTACTCGGACATTATGGAGACAAAACCAAAAGCTATTGTTAAATAAATCTGTGTAACCTGCCAGTTAATCACAGGCTTATCATCAGCTGCAGGGAGGTGTCAGAGAGCTAATTCAGTAAGATAATGAATGTGGTTTAGAAAACAACACCAGGAAGCAGGTCACCAAGTCCACCAAGTTATTCAAGATTTGTCTGAGAACTTCTGCACCAAAACTCTTAAGACATTTAGGGAATCATATTCCAGTGTAAATCCTAGACTTAATGTCTGGGGCTTTAGTGTGCAGGCACCCATCCTAGTTAATGTGCCTCTGTGCATTCTGCTGCTGAGATTCACTTTCATATTTGTGCGACAAACTAGAGCCCAGTGAAACGGCAGATTAAACAAAAGCGTAGGGGGTGCTGGCAGCAGGTTGTTTATTGCGTGCCTGTGAGTGAATCCAAGAGGCAGCGGTGATTACCAACATATGCAGCTGGGGGATCAACTGAACCAGACCCGCAGTGGCACTCAAGCTAATTTCCATACATTAATTCACTTATGTACATTTACTAATTCCTTTCGGTATGTAATCATAAAGTGCAGGATCACACTGAGGAACTATTTCAAAGTGACAGTCAAACGTCTGAGACACTGAAAACAAAGGGTCTGACTAAGATAAACTGGCAGATAAAATTATATAAGTGTCTGCACAGGGCTTTAACTTCTAATCTCAACCGAGGTTCAGTTCTTTATGTGTAGATTGTTATACAATACAGACTGTATTTAAAACAATGCCTGGAAACATAATGAAAACACATTCAAGGATAAGAGACAATTTTTCTTATTGCCGCCAAATCCCATGAAAAGGCCAAAACATTAATAAATGGATTCTAATAACAAGTATTGTCTGTGTAGCCTGATACAGCTTATTCCTTTGTGCCATAGAGCTCCATTGTTGTCCAAGTACTGTTAAAAACATATGAGCCGCACTGTTGCAATGGATGACAAACACTGGCACTGTTATTCAGTATTAAGTCCCACATACACCGTCCTGCTGCTATAAATACTCAATAGTACATATTAGTCCATGGCTGAACATAGTCCCCAACAAAATGCACTGTTATCTCCTCTTTGAGTAACATTTGCTAAAAATCACAGTGCCCAGCTCCTTCAGGAAATCATTTGGTCTTTTTTTAAAGAAAACTACATATATTTGTACCCTGTTTTTAAAGTTTCCAGTAGGGAACAATGGGCTTCTGGCGGAGAGCCACACATGAGGTAGGGTTGGACTAACATTTGGTTTTGGTATTAGGATTTGTTGACAGTAAGAAAAATATTAAATAACGTACACATAATGTAATATACAAACTGGTATGGTCCATACATGTGCAGTAGGCTACAGTGTAGTTTGTATGTTCTTCTTGGGTCTGAAGTGAAACAGTGCACGTCAGTGTATTCCTTTGCGTATCATTATTTCTCTCGTGCTCCCTCATGCCTGAACCACCAGGCCTTACTCTGCTTTATCTGGCCCTTCGCAGAGGTCTGCTCCAAAACCTGAAGGGCTTCTGGAATCGAACCTCTGGGGAGATGAGAATACAGAAACTTTTTTTTTTTTTTTATAAGACGGGGACAGAGGAAAAAGAAAATCCTCAAACTGAAATGAGGGAATTCCACAAATTACCATTTGTCACAAAGTAATCCTGTTACTATTGCAAAGAATATGGAGCGGTGTAAACATGGAAATAGACTGCTAATATGGATGTAGCTTACAAGCAGAGGCTCTGTTCAGTTGAGATATAGAGCTGCAAACCCTGTTTCAGATCCCCAGTAAGGAAGAGTGCCACAAAATTCAAAGTGGTTACAGAAAATTTGCTTCTCAGGGAGAGATTAAAATTTTCAGATGTTTTTTCTTTATTTATTCTTTGCATTGCTACATTTCAACTCATTTTGCTCCAACCATTTGCTAACCAGTTACTCGTCCCATTGATCTAATGGCAGCGTTCAGGGCTTACATTGCTGCAGTCAGAAAACTGATGAATATTTAGAAGCATTTTATCTTCCCATCTGTGCACAGGCTTTATCTTGTGTCTGTTTCACACACTGTAAGCCACTGAGTGCATGGAATGAGTGACAAGCATATAATCTTGATTGCATCTTGATGCTATTACCTTATGCTGCCAAGCGCTCAGGTGACAGCTGGGGGACAGTGAGGAGATCTGGGGGAAAAGGTGACATTGAATTTTTTGCACCTGTATCAGCAGTCAGCAGCTCACACTGACACAAGATGGCGCCAGTTGAGTGAGTTCAACTTTGAGCAGGATAGTTCAAAAGCAAGGCCAACTGTGTGACAATATTTTCAACATTAATAATAATTTGAAAAATTATAAAAAAGAAAATAATACAAAACAGAATTTGCCTTTTGTAAGGCTACAAGAAAGGCAATTCCTCTTCAAATAATAAAGTTTTCAGATGTTATCTGTTATGGCAAAAATAACAGATAAACTGAACAAAGATGTGTTTGTATGTATGTCTCAACATCCATTCACCAATTTGTGTTAAATGCATATTAACGCAATAGAATTATCCAAAATAAGATTCCTGCAAATAAATTCAACGCATGTCAAATTATTTTCAACTACAGAGGCTGTCTTACAAATTAAGGCAGCACGTTAATGTGTTGTTTAGATTACTGAGTATGTGTAACAACATGGACCAGAATTGCCTCACAGTCATTTCTCTGCTTGCAATAATCTGCCTATCCTCAAATTATGCCCCCACCCGTACTATTTTACAGGGGGGCAAAAGTGACTCTCCTTTTCCTTTATTCTCCCTCTCTGTCTCAGTAAGTATCAGTCTGTTTTGCTCTCAGCTTGCCTCTATTAGATGCCTTAATGCTGTACAGCGTGGCCTATCTTCAAACAGGAATGCTGATGATACTGGCCCTGCAGCGGTGAACCCCCCCGCCCCCCACATCCACCACCCACCC